CCCGAATTTCAGGCTTGATCCTCTTTCTCTTTCGTTCGAAACGTTTTCTTTATTCTTATTATTATTATTATTATTATTATTATTATATTCGTTTATAAAAATTAAAACACCGAACGATTAATATCGAAAAGTATGTTTTTGATCGTTTTGTTTGAATTAAAATTTCATGGGAAACGAGTCTATCGTCGATGAGAGAGCGATACCACGGCACGATATAAAATTCGATATTACAATCCCCTGGTTTTAAAAGGGGACGCATAAGTGAGTATCTATTTGAATTGTTTCGCGGAAGCTAGGGGACGTGATTTTTTAACGGGTTGAAAATCCGCGTTGATGCGCGTTCCATTCGTAGCCGCTGACGCGTGATATTTTTTAATGCGATTTACACGGTAAGACAATCAAAATTGCACGGTACACGAATTTGTACACGATAAAATTGTACACTGTTGTTCGTATCATTATTTTCACCGAGACATTTTAATACGAATGACGAATAAATCCGGTGATATTTTATTTGTCTAATCTAAAAGAAAAAAAAGGAAAAAATACTTGGAACTTTCGTTGTTGTTGGAAAAGAATTGGAATCGAATTTTATCGATTCGAAACGATTAATTAGAAAGAACGAGAAATGCAAAATTAAGCCTTTCAGCAGTACAACCGTTATGAATTCTCGAATTTAATCGAATCGTTAAATTACTTGAAATATTTCGTCCGAATTTAAATTTATTCATCGAGTTTAGAATTGCGTTGCTAGAATTGATTGAAATCAAGATTTAAATTTACATCGATATAATTACACGATGAATATCGAATCAAAAAATTGACACAAAAATAATTAAAATCCTTCGATATCTATCCTCCGAATCTCTCTTCGTTCGAGAACAAAAATAAAATAAAATAAAATAAAATAAAATCGAACACGTTTCATTTGCAATTCGCAATCGCAAATTGCAAACCAAAGCCAAAGGTCAGCCAACGAGTCCTCTCGTCCTGGCGCAAGCGAACGTCGACGTTTCTAATTAAATTTGGCGAAGGTGAAACGTGGGGAATCGTTCCGTTCGTGGCGAATTCTCGCTCGAGGAAAGACGAGGGCGATCGGTTTTTCTCGCAACTCGTTTCAACGTCGTTCCACCCAACGACGACGATGACTTTCGAAGTCGATCGAGCATACCGGGGAAAAGATTGGCCGAGATCGCGATCGAAGGCGGAAGGTTCGACGGGATTGGACAATTTCTCGCCGGTTGAATCGCTCCCTTCAGCCAGAAATTCACACGAGGGTGGGAAGACAATAAAAGAAACAGAAGTTTGAAATTATCCTGTCAGGCAGCCAGAGGGGCTCGATTAATTCGCGTTAAATCGGTTTCGTGGTTTCCTTCGTGTTGTTTGCCGATCGATTTCCTGTTTTGCGACTGAAACACGGAAACACGATGAATTTTCGGAGATTTTCGCGTGCAAAGGTAGAATGTGTTGCTCAATTTTTTTTTTTTTTGCAATTCATGGTTTAATAAAATATTCAAGATGGATAGTTAAAAGAAACTAATAATCGAACAGAGAGATCTTGCTATCCGTGGAATATTGGACATATGCAACGATCAACTCGATTGTTCTTCGATTTTTAATCCTGGCGTGAATCGATCGCTTTGCCTTCGATTCAATCGTTTTCGAATCGTTCATCGAGCGAGCTTCGAAACCTCGAAATCGTCAAATAGCCGATACTTGCCGCTACAAAACTAGAAATCGAACTGTGGAAGTTTTATCGTTGGTTAAATTCTAAAAGTTGAAAAATTTTGATTTTTCTCCGAAGTGAATAAAAATTTAATTCGTAAAAACGTTTTGCAATTGAAACGAAACCGTTTCCATGTCCGGCCGGCCTCTTTCTTTGCCTTTCTTCCCTTTCTTTATAAACAACCCTTGTAACAAGGTACATCTCCCTCGTAACAAGACTCTCATTTTATATATACACTGCGGACTACAAACCCAGCACTGACGTTTTCTGGAACATTAGACGTCGAATTTTATATTATGAAATTACCTCATTTCTCTAAAATCTTCTCCATCTCGTTATAATGAAATCTTTTGAACGTAAATCTACACGAAGATTACTTTTCGACGTCTCGATTTCTGTTCTCTACGAAATTAGAAGAGAATAAAACTTTCCATCGTTTGTTCTCAGGTGCGATCTTTCATGCGGGGGACGAAGAGTACATGGATGCGTTTATGAAGGCGGTGACCGACACGAAATTCGAACACATCGCACCCTCGTTCAAGATGGAAGCTAGTATAAAGCAAGTGGAAGTTAATACTGACAGCTTCAAAACCGCTGCCGCTGGTTCGTATGAATATTAAACTATTTTTGCACACAAATTTTAAAATATATTCTATCGATTCTTTTATCGATAATAGATTTTTTCTTATGCATAGATAAATTTTTATTAAGCGATGGTAAGCTCGGCTTGGTCAATTTTTAAAACAGCGTTTTTCAAATCAAAGTTTTGTATTTCTTGTAGATAGACGGAGTTCTGATACATTCTCTTTCGCTATCCGAAACATTATTTTTCAATCATTCTCCTGTCGTAACGAAAATTGTATTGAATGAAAATTGTATAATTTTAACATTCGAATCGCACGAGAGGCAAACTCATTTGGCCAGAAGATTATAATTGCTAATGAACCAATTAACGATCGAATGCACACAATTAATTTCGAGAAAATTTAATCGTAAAGAAAATGGGAGGGAAACGATCGAATGGAATCCATCGAGTAACGTTGTCTCTGGTTTTCCTCCCATCGAACTTCTCGATCGACAATAAATTTCGCGTTAAATCCTGCCGCGGGAGAAACAAATCGAAGGGCTGGAGCGATAATAAAGCGTAATTGGACTTCTTTGTTCCCCGATGCAACTCGATATTTAAACGGTTCCTCTTTTTCTCTCCCCTCCCTCCATCCCCTTCCAATTGAAACGAATAATAAGATTATCTTTCTCTCGAGTACCATTCTTTCTGCATCGAAAATGGAATATCGATTAATCTACGTTCGAAATATCACGGCCAATTCCACGACACGATGAAGCAGTAAGAAGGATTTTGACCTAAAGCAGAAAATCCATCGAAACCTTCTAATTTTCAGAGATTTCCTCGAATAATCGATCTCGAGGAACCGATCGCTTCCTGCGTTTCGCGTGCATTATTATTTTATGGAAGACACGTTAACTAACACGCTTTAACGTTGCAGCTTGCAAACTTTTGGAGGAGGGTGTGGCGGCGATCTTTGGACCCTCGAGCCCCTACACTTATGGGATCGTAGCTAGCATCGCGGCCAGGTACGATGTGCCTCACATCGACTATTTCTGGAGACAAAATGAAGAGCTTCAGGCGAATCAGGAGCCGAAAAATCCGAAACCGATGACCATCAACTTCTTTCCCGACAGCGAGATGGTCGGCCAGGTGAGTCGAAGTGAAGCAATTTTTATGAAACGCAAGAATCATGTGAACTATGTTTCATCGTAATGTTATGAATTATTATTAATTTAATGCGAAGAAATAGATTTCGCTGATCTTACAACCTATTCATTACAAACTCTGGATCGATATTGATTTTCGAGAATATGAATAACGCAATCCCGATCGATCGAAATTCCACAAAATTATTCCATCGAATCGAGGAAAGGAATGTTCTGTTCGAAACAAAAGTACCGCGAGATGGCGCCACGCAACCCGTAAATCATCCAAATAGCAGGCAAATATTTATTTCCTCCACGGATTGAAAACCGGTCGTGAAATTTGAAATTGATTCGAGTCGATTTTCAACGTACGTGTAAAAAAAACGTACAACGACGCGCAAATGCGCGACACCTTTATGGGGAAGGAAACCGTTTAGAGGAAAAATGAGGAGCGAAGGTGGTGGCGCGTTTCGACGCAATTTTAAATTACTCGTTTAACGAGGCAAATCGAACGGGTTTGAAGTAGTAGCTGGCGCATAAAACCGGCTAGTCGAGGCTAATGAGCGCGATCAAAGACCGAACTTCGGCTAACGACGATGAGTTTTTATTCTCTCCGCTCTTTTCACGCGGGAAAACAACGAAAAGCAAGTCGAGACGAATCGAGCGGCTACCCTCCCCCTCCTCGATTAAGCTTTAATTAAAATTGTCGACGAACGAGCGTGGCGGGCGAATAAAGGATTACTTGCCGTTTCGATCTTTATAGCGCAATTAAACCGTTTTCCTCCCGCTGTGTTAGGTTAGTTTGAATCGTGTGGTAATTGGCGGAACGCGTGGCGCTCGTTCATTCCGTATACGATGCATAAATGTGATCGCATCGAAGAAAACGGGAAATGAGAGTATTAAAGGAAACGTTGTATATTAAACGCCGCGAAATGTGTGGAAACGGGAAGAGAAACGATCGACGATTACGTTATCCCATAGGCGATCAACGAGAAGGTTGTATCGATGCTCGTTACGGGGTTATAAGGCTCGGTTAAGAATATTAAAATGGCCGACAGCCATTCACATTATACGCGGATAAAGCAATCGTCTGACGAATTATTATATGCGATGCGATAATGCGATGCGTATATCAAATTTATTACGCGCCTCTTTAAATCCTGCTTTGGGGAAGGAATCGGTCGGAAGTGGTGCGACGAGTTTTAAATTAACGAGATTTTCAAATATATCGAGTATCTGTCGATTTATCTCGTATTTAATCCTCATCGTGGCAAAGCGTCGTAATTTCACGCACGCTAGTTTCTTCCCTCAACTGCCGAAATATCATGATTTTATCGAAAAAATTTTTCCCGCGCTGGAAAATTTCCCGCGTAAAAATATTTCAATATTTCCATATCCATACGTCCTTTGAAGATTTTTTTTTTATTTCGCTCGATTTTTCTCCCGACTCTCTTTTATTTTCGCGGCAACGCAACGCCTATTTCACGCCATTTTTACGCCGGTTTCGCAGAAAGAAATTTCCATTCGTCGAATTTTCGCCTAAACTCTCGACGATCTTCCCTTAATATATCGCGTGCGTTCGTTTTCTCGATCCGAGTGTGTAACGAATTCGCCACGATTTTCCTCAGGTTCAAAGGCAAATTCGAGCGTTCACGTTCGCATAAACTGATCTCTCTCTCTCTCTCTCTCTCTTTCTGCCATTTTTGTGAATGTGAAGGATATCGGATCCACTTTTGTAATAGCTTTGTATCTATACTACCCGTTATATTACATATTATTAAATTAAATTGAACTTTAACTTTAAGCCAAACAGCCTCATCATTTGTATCAGCAATGAAAATTTTGCCCAGGCGATCGCCGACGTGGTCGAATCCATGAAGTGGAACACTTTCGCGGCCGTCTACCAAAACAACGACGGCCTGTCACGTATTCAAAAGGCTCTGTCTCTGAGACGGAAGAAGGACACCGCGGTGACGATAAGAAGGTTGGGGGAAGGCCGGATTTTCGCCCGATCCTGAAGGAGATACGAGCAATGTCGATCTGCAACGTGGTCATCGACGTCGAGCCGAGGAACATCATGAATGTGCTCTACCAGGCGAAGGAGGTCAAGCTGCTGGCGGAGTACTGTAATTTCTTAATTACTTACCTGGTATTACGCCACATTCTACTTTACATGCGTACATCTCTCGATTCATCTCACGATCGATCGATCGATCGTAATTCAATCTTAGGAAAATGACACGAGTTGGAGTCAAACTTGATCGCAAACCCGACCCTCCTTCCTCTGAAACTTTAGTTTACTCGGAGATTCGTTTCATTTTTTTCTCGTAACGAGCGAGCATATTTTGGAAATATGTCATTTGTCCTCCCGTAAACGAAATTGGTAAACGATGGAGGGAGATTCACGAGTTTGAGCAAGCGTTTCGAACACGGGGCATCCATACGAAAATGGGAGGGGTTCGTTCCGCAATATTCGGTTTGACGTTTCCATTCCTAACTTCACGAAAGCTGGAACAAGGCGAAATTGAAATATCCGGCGTGAAATTTGCCAAATTTGTTTGATGCAAAAACTAATTCCACCACTTTTCCAAAAGAAATTGCATTTATAAACGCAAGTTATAAACGAATCGAGAAAAATCGCCAGTAACCAAATCATATCCATCCATCCATAAAATGTTTAAAAAAAATCTTTGGAGAATAAATCTTTCAAGTTTCGATGGCAAAATGATGGCAGGATTGGAGAGCACGTCGTCACGAGGCAGATTTTCTCGTCGGGGCGGGCAGTTAGCGGAGATAACCGGTCGCGGTTTCCCCGACCGCGGCTTTTCCAAGGGAATTTCATTAATAAATCCACGGAACGTGTCGCGGTCACGTTCACCCCGGGCGTAGTAACTGCATTAGCCGGTTACAATTGCCAGCCTTTTTATTAAACGTACCCATAAATTGCTCCGAGTAATTGTTTTCAACGATACGCCGGTAATGGCGTGCCGTCTCAACATTCCTTCGTTCACCACCGCACCCTGGAATCCGCTTTTTATGACGCATTACCACCGAGCACGTAACAATACCTTCATAAATAACGACGTTCGCGGCGAGTCGAGGGAGTTTTCGCGCGTATCGTTTCCTTTTCTACGTCTCTTCTCTCTCCCCTTCAATCCCTCTCTTCTTCCTTTTTTTTCCTTCTTCCTTTTTTTTTTTTTCTTTGTTTCAAAGCGGAACAACTCGACGTCCTCCGGGTGACGCGTGGAAGCGCCCCTTTTGTCGCGTCGAAGCGTGCGTGTAGCCAAAGACAATGCAAAGTTACAGGGAACTCGTGCGATTTACGGGGGAGTTGGACTGGAAAAGAGAACGAAGGCTTTTTAGAGGCAGCGTTTGAAGAAGGTCGAGGACTTGACACGGTGATTCGTTCAACGGTGATTGTTTCAATTCTATTATCACAGAAATTACACGCACATGTATCCACGCATTTCAAAGTGTTGCGTTTTTCGTATTATTTCAACTCGTTCGATCAACTCGTTTGAAGTGTCTATTTCTATCCGTGTAATGAACGACTCGTCGAAGATAAAATCTTGTTTTCGCGACACTTTTCCTTACAGTTTTAAGGGAAGAAACACTTTGATCGCTTTGACAAGAGTTATTTGTTTGAAACGTTTCACCGTGCGCCTCGCAAATATTCGAAATTTGCCCTGTGTATACACAGGAGAGACGGGAGGCGAGAAGGGGAAGCGTGTCGTATGAATTCGCGAGGAATTTCACGGTGCATCCGTATATTTGTCCGAGCTATCGAGAAATTCGTGGAAGACGCGCCACGTTCGAAGAGGCGAATGGACCCACGTCAACGTCAACGTGTCCCTGATCCCACGATTAGGATTTCGATCAGCCTGAACACCGTCGCCGCTTGTCGACTTTAACTCGAGTCGACGAACGCTCGAATTTTAATCGTAGGGGAGAGGAAGTGGCGATTCAAGAAACTTTAATCGAACGAGCGCGACAATTAGTCCGATAATAATGATCCTCCTCTTTAAAGAGGAGATTATTTTTTGAAGGAGGAAAGATTCGCTGTGGACCTCGCTTTAAACTTTTATCACGGATTAAAAAGATCGATAACTTCGGACAGAACGCAACTTTGTAATTGGGGGATAGCTCGTCCTGTGTATAGCCGGATTGAAAATTAGCGTCCAAACTTTGTTACGCCTCGCAACGAGAAGTTTCTCGCCATCATATATTATATTACAGTTCGTTCGTAACAATGGTATTCGTCGTTTTCGCGTAAACTTCACTAACAATTCCTGCCACTTCCCCCTCCTCCTTTTATTCCTGTATCTTTTGATCACAATTCGAATATTATACTTATCGTCATCGAGACATAAAATCGAGTCGCCTCTCCGAGTGAAAAAATTCGAAAAACGAGTCAGCGAAGAGAAGAATCGAGTCGCTTCCGGAGATTCGTTCGTTTGCAGATACACTTCTTACAGTTAGCGCGGAGTTCCCAAGTTATTTCCCGCTTGTTGCACCGGGACAACAAGGAAAACAAGGCGAACGACCCCTCGAACCATGGTTCCCCCGCTTAACATTCCGTGTTTCACGGTTGTCGGTCTCGAATCCGGGTCGATCCAGACCCACGTGTATGCGTGTACCAACGATGACCGATCGTTTTTTTTCGGTGGTGAAGCATCCGGAGAGAGGCATCCGAGATGGATGAGAGCGCGGCTCGAAAGCTTGGCTCCGCCGCCAAATAGAAATGGGGTGCGGCTGGCAATCGACACTTTTTAAAATTATGTCTTGGATCAAGTGAGAATTGTGTGCTATCTCTCTGTCTTGCTTTTCTTCGTCTTTGTTTCTATACGTAACATTGTTGATACGGTTAATAAATTTTTTCTTTTTTTTTTCTAGGATTCGGCAAAATTGTCCCTGTGGAAGGTGCGGGAAGAATCGACGATCAATATCACTGGACTGAATTTGCGAAACGAGGAAGGAAACGAGGTGAAAGGAATTAATTGGGTAAATATAAACGTGTATAATTCTTCCCCAGTTGAATTTATTCCCCGTCCAATTTTTGTACGGGGAAGTAATTAAGACGAATGGAAATGATAATATATTTGATATTTCCTCAAATTCGATTCGGCGGACAAATATTTCAGACGTCGATATTTTTTGATAATGAATTATCAAAGTGGATTATAAAGTGAATTTCCGACGAATTGGTGGTACTATTCGGTGAAATAACTTGGAATTCTCAAGAATGTTTCCACTGGATCGTTTTTAAAATTTTTTTAACAGCCTTTGATGTATTTCCCTTCGAACGAATCGACGCGAATAGAACTTGCGATTGATTCATTTACAGGGAGCACGGTCATCCTCGAAGATTGATATTGTAGAATGTAATAATTCGATTCAAATATTTTTCATTTTCGTTTAAAAATTAAATTCGTCGCCCTTTGAATTTTCCTTCGCTCCCTTCGTAATATTAAATTCCACGTAAAGAGCTAATATAAAGAGCATCGATATGATCAATCGAGGTCATCGAATATTAAAAACGTCGAAGATAAACGAATCTTCGATATTATCTTGAAGAGGATCCCTCGTATTTCTCGAATTAAAGATCTGTGGAAGAAAATTCTTTCGATCGAAAACATTCGAAGATTGCAATTTCTACGTTACAACAATCTTTAATTGTTGTAATAATAATAATAATTCAAAAATGAAATTATTAAACGGACATTTCGTTTCTTAAATTAATATTCGCGATCTTCCAAATCGCAACGTTCCTCGAAATCGTCCAAATGGAGGTCTTGCAATTATAAGATAATTTCTTCATTAACTACCCGATATAATGAAGTTGCATCCTCGTGTTCGAGGACGCCTTTCGTTTCCCGGAAAATCTAGCCGCGACATGATACTTACGAACAGGTGACGGCCTCCCTTAATTTTCGTTTCATTAGCCCTCGCCGATTCGCTTTGTATCGTGGACCGAGTGCACGCGAGCAATATCCTTTCTCCTCGTATGCAAACGCGCTGCAGCGAAACGTTTAATCGTGTTGTTTTATAATTCTGGGAAATTGGACGGCTTAACGTTTCATTTCTCATTAGAACGGATCGTTGCGAACATCTTGTTACTTGGTAAACGAAACGGAGGATTCGGCTGGATTACAAAATTGCCAGCACATGCACGGGTTAAGCAAAATTCTCCCTTCGAGGAAAGGAGTGGAATAGGAATTGAGGAAATTTTCAATTCTTGAGAGATTGGTTAGCGGTTGAGGGGATTGCGAATTTTTGTGTAGTTAAATTGTTCGAATATAATCGTACGAAGTATGTATCTTGTACGCGTTTTGCATCGCCAACGATAAATTATTGCACCTAGTCAACTGAAAAATGAAATCACAATTTTTCGTGGAAATTTCTTCAAAGGAAAGGAAATAAAAATTTTGTCATCGAAGTGATTGACTTTATATCTCAATTGGTTGTCGAAAAGGGACCGTGTGTTATATGTAATTGATTAATTATTACTTTGAAAAGGTGGAATCGACCATTTTATACGATTCCGTCTTCCTGGTGTACAACGCGCTGGAAACTTTAAACGCGAGGAATCAGGATAACGCAGAGGGTGAAACTATTGACCCAGTACCGCTCTCTTGCGAAGGAGAAGAGAAATACAGCGCAGGTCCCAACATTACCAACGTGATACGCGAGGTAAAGTTTTCTTGAAACTACTTTTCTTGCAACGCGAACATCCTAAAGCCTAAAGTTCAAATTAGCCGAGTTGCTTCGATTCCAGTTTCTGGTCGAATTTGAGTAATTTAATTACAACTTTATCCACAATTTTATTTCGCCCGTGAGAAATCGTGCAAATACCTCTTAAAGTCTCTCTGTAAATAAGGAAAGAAAATTGATAATGATTTCTATAGCTATCCAAAGAGGGAAAGATCACAGGGCCGATTACGATCGACGAAAATGGTAGACGTCAATTCTTCAAGTTGAAGATCATAGACGTGAGACCAGATGAAAACGTGGAAATAGGATATTGGGATCCGAAAGGTCTTCACACGGCCGACAACGAAAAGGAACGCGAGAGTTATTTGTACAAATCTATCGAACAGAAGAAATTCAAGATTAGCACTAAATTGGTGAGTAATCTGCTCGAGAAGATAATCGTTGAAAAATTATCGATCAAGAATATCGACATCTTTGAGAGTCTAAGTACAATTTTTACAATTGGAAGGAATGAATTTACGAATGAAATATAAAAATTCTCGATATTTTTTTATTGCTAATAATTGTATTTGATCAATATATATATATATATATAATTAATGATAATTGATCAGGGTCCACCGTATGTAATGGAAGTGACAGACAGCGCAACTCGAGGAATACTGATCGAGCAAACGCGTTACGAAGGCTTCTGCATCGATCTCATCGAGGAGATTGCCAAACTGTTAAATTTTAAATATGAGTTCGAGTTGGTGCCGGACGGTAATTACGGCACGTTGAACAAGGAAACGAAACAATGGAATGGCCTGATCAGACGTTTATTGGATCACGTACGTTCTAATTGTTCCCAAGTATATAAAGTTTACTTTACATTCGATTAAGCAGAGTAAGAATCGGCATGGATCCTTTCCAGGATGCGGATCTGGCTATTTGCGATCTGACAATTACGTACGAGCGCGAAAGCGCGGTCGATTTTACAATGCCGTTCATGAACCTAGGTACGGGCGTTTCTAATTCCTTATCGCGTCCCATTTACACGATAAATCTGACGACAATGCTATTTTATCCGATACGTTCCCTAGGTATCAGCATTTTATACAGGAAACCGGAGGAGAAGGAACCGGATCTGTTCTCGTTTCTGTCGCCGTTGTCAACCGACGTCTGGATTTACATGGCGACCGCTTTCTTAGCAGTTTCGATAATGCTGTTTCTACAGGCCAGGTAAGCTTTTAAGACAACTACGCGAGAAAGCTGTATATATATATATATATATCTCGATAAACGTTTTCCTCTTCGAGGAAGAATTATTTTTTCCTTTTTTTTTTTTTTTTCCCTTAAGCCTCGTCAAACTGTGATAAAATTAAATTCTCGAGAAAAGGGGAAAAAAGTTCGGTAGCGTTTAAGGGAATTCTTAAAGGAAATTCTTTATCTACAGAATGGCGCCAGGCGAATGGGACAATCCGCATCCGTGCAACCCGGATCCGGAGGAATTGGAAAATAATTTCGACTTGAAAAACTCCATGTGGCTCACCGTCGGCTCCCTCATGCAACAGGGATCTGATATACTTCCCAAGTAAGTTCGGCAAACTTAACGACGAGGCACCTATGCAACCGCAACCTGCCTTACACTCGTGCAAAAGTCTCGCGCGATAATCGCAGAAACGAAAGCCGCGCACAATGCCCGCAACAAAGAGACCCGCAACCGTATCTGTTTCACCTTGCGCAATTACTATTCCGGAATTACTCGTGAAAGTTGTAACGAAACTGCATCGTTCCATTTGCTAATCGCCCGGATTATAAATTCAAAACAGAAATTTCAACTTAGTACTTCTGGTAGGCGGCTGTTCCGCGCAAAATTACCTTGAACGGAACTTCGTCGTCGATCATTTTCTGCTCGAGATAGCAGAAATAAAGGATCGTGCGGGCACAAGAGAAAGAATTATCCAAATTAATCCAACGAATTCCAAATTTACAATGGGATCTTTTTTATTAAATCCACCGCGCTATCTCCGAAAACTTTATGAATCCACGAACGAACAAACGAAGAACGATAAGAATCCCCCATTTTACACAATCACGAAATATAATTTAAAATCGTTGGCGAGAATCTTTCTCCGCCGCCGCGGTTCATTTGGGAAATTCATTCCCGTTGAAGAGGAGAGGAGGGGGAGGAAATAAAAATCTTGGCGTATCTCATTATTCCGCTTAAGGAAATATAAAATATCGCGGATCGTTTGTAGGAAAACGTCTACAAGAGACGGTGCCAAAAGCAGACGCGGCACTTTTTCTTTTTTCTCCCCTTCCCCTCCACCCGGCTCTCCTCTTTTTTTCACGACAATTAAGCTTAACGAGCCGCTGTTTGCCGGACATATTTGAGGCGGCTTCCCACTTATTAGCGCCGGCACGGCGCTAACTCTCCGCTCGTAACACCGCGCATGTTTGCTCGCTACATACTGGCGACGACCACGACGACGACGAGGACGAAAGGCGGCGGCGGCGGCGGCGGCGATGACTACAACCACGGTGACGACTAACAACCAGCAATCCTCCTAACTGCTTCCTCCTGGCTGCTGGATCAAGGAACACTGGATATCTGATTGTTCTTCGGACCGAGAAACGTTGATTTAAACATAAAAAATATACCGCGAAGGAAATATGGATCGTCGTGGATTCGAGTGATCCAAGCACATGCATGGTCTTTTTCCCCCGATCTCCTCGTTTCGGGAAAAGAAACGTTTCGTTTTTTTTAAATCTGTAATTTGTGTGTGATAATTTCGATGCACAATATCGAAAGCGACTTGGCTTCGTTTTATTGAAAAATTATTTAAAAAGAAGGAAAGGAGAAATTAGAAAATTCTCGACGTGATGGTATCGCTTATCGATATCGCGCGGTGGCGATTTAATCGCGATCCATTTGTCGATAAAGGGCCCCGGCTCGGGAGGAAACAATGTCCTTTGTTTCTGTTTACTCGGCGTCCTGTGCACGTTCGCGCGGCACAAAATATATTATATATACGCACGCGCGCCGTGCTCGGCAAACAGGCGTCATTTGCATACGCGGCTCTTTAGCTCGCGCTTAATTAGGAAAACGCGATGCATCCTATCTCTGCGCGCCCTCCTACGCGCGCGTCTCCACGAGATGCTTCATCCAGTCGTCTCTCAAGTACCCGACGATTTATCTGCCCGACGTAGACCGTGATTAGATGACAAAGGATAAACGGATCTCTCGCGTTAAGCGGGGATCTCGTCGTTGTGGAGGGGCAGATAATAATGAAGGAAAAATGAGGAATAAAGAATCAATCGTTAGTTCAATTCTCGATCTTCTTGGTCCAATTTTATCTTACATCGATCAAATTACACCAATCTTCGACTCGATTCAATCGTCCAAACTAGCGTAGATTCACTTTGACCAATTGGGAACAATTGAAATTCCATTTCTGCTTCGTCTAACTTTAACACAATTTACTTTGTTTGCCGTTCTCTCTAACTCACGATCCTCTACGATCTTTATTATTAAAAATTACCTTCGTTTTGTTCGATTCAGAGCACCCTCCATCCGAATGGTGGCCGGTATGTGGTGGTTTTTCACTCTGATAATGGTCTCCTCCTACACGGCCAACTTGGCCGCCTTCCTGACTGTTGACAAGATGGACAATCCGATCAAAGGCGTCGAAGATCTAGCCAAGCAGACGAAAATCAAGTACGGAGCCGTGGCTGGTGGATCCACGTCCGCTTTCTTCAGGGTGATTTTCTGTCAACGCGATATTTCAGTTCAGAATTTGAAACATTGATTGTGACGTTGATGAAAAAAAAGGAAAAAAATGGTTTTCAAGGATTCCAATTACTCGACCTATCAACGCATGTGGGCGGCCATGCAGGAAGCGAGGCCAAGCGTGTTCACCAAGACCAACGACGAGGGGGTGGATCGAGTGTTAAAGAAACGCGATTACGCTTTCCTCATGGAGTCAACCACGATCGAGTACAGAATGGAGAGGAACTGCGATCTCGACAAGGTCGGGGGCCTGATCGATAACAAGGGATACGGTATCGCTTTGCCGCGAAGTGAGTTCGACGAAGGAAATTTCAATTTCTCATCTCTGGAAATCTTTGGGGAAAAAACTGGACTCTTTTTTTCTCGATTCCAGACTCACCATACAGAACGCCCATAAGCGGAGCGATACTGATGCTGCAAGAGAAAGGGGTGCTCCAAGATCTGAAGAAGAAGTGGTGGGAGGAACGAGGCGGCGGTTTGTGCTCGAAAATCGAAGCGGAGCCGACGTCGTCCAGCGAATTAGGATTGGCCAACGTCGGTGGTGTCTTCTTGGTCCTCCTGATCGGATGTTGCGGCTCGTTCATCATCGCCGTCTTTGAATTCCTGTGGAATGTACGAAAGGTCGCCGTGAAGGAGAAGGTGAGCCCCCCTCCTTCCTCTTCCCGTTATCTCACCCTTGGATCTCTTTTACCCCGAAACCGAGTGATAAATATTCCTCCGCGTCGCGTGCATAGAAAAGCGAAGGAATAATTCTTCCTTATATAAAGACCGCCTTTAAATTCTCCCTTCCAAGGGGGAAGACAAATCATAATCGTTCCTTTTTATTTTTATTTCCATTTCTTCTTTCTTTTTTCTTTTTTTTTTTCCTTTTTATTTCATTTCCCTTCCCTTCTGCTAACCGCGTATGGTGGTTAGAAATTTTTTAATTAAAATTCTAATAACAGTTTTATATCATCGAATTTGAGCGGGACAACGTGGTATTAATGAATAACAAGGGGGGAGGAGCCGTGATCATATTTCGTCGGCGTGTTGTTGCAGGTTACGCCGTGGGAGGCGCTGGTGGCGGAATTGAAATTCGCCGTGAATATTTGGGCGGAGACGAAACCCGTTAAAATCTCTAAAAGCAGCGGCACGAGTTCGATGGAGGACGGGATCGGTCGGGCTGCATCCACGGCCCGTTCAATCGTCGGCTCGTTCCTTCGTCTCGACATCCTCGACAAATTCGATAAAGATAACAGTGCCAACAACCGCAATAACGATCGCAAGATCAATTAAAATTCCATTGTGTTATTAACATCTGTTACGTTTAACAAATTGGAAAAAGTGGAGAAAAACGCCTCCGCTTTTACCGATCCGTTTGCCGATTTTGTTGAAACGGCTAGGCTGAAAAGCGCGAAATATCAGTATAATTCTACTTTCTATAATATCGAATTTAAGTGATTTAATTTTATGATTGAACCAATTTGTTCAACTTATTCTTCTTCTTGTTGTCGAATCGAAGTGTAAGCGTTAAAAGCTAATCTGTCTCGTTGACAATTATTATAGGAAAAAGAAAAGATTATTATTTAGAATCTTAGCAATTTTTATAAACACCCTTCGTATCTAATCGTTCAACGAAATAAACCGTTACAATTAAACCGATTGGAAATTTCTTCGCTCGTATCGCGATCGATAAAAGAAAGAGGCGAAAATAAAAGGACGAAAAAGAATTTGAAAAACCAACGAAAAGGGGGGGAAAAAGAAGGAAAGAAAATCTTTCTCGTGCCACCGCGCGTAAAGTCGTCAAGTGTTGTTCAACGATGGTCGCAAAATGGCGACGTCATGGAACGGGAGAAATCTCCGCTGTAGGTCCGGTAGGAAAGGAATCCAACAATATTTGGACTCCGGCCACAATGGCGCTAACGAACCGTGGCCTTGGTTTAGAAGATTTTCGTCCCGAGAGATCAGCCGTGTGTGTACCAGTACCCCCCGAGAGCCGGCATCTTTGTGTCATTATTATCGAGGGACGTTTCTAACCGTTTCGATCGCCGTCGACAAGAAGACACTTTCAACTTTACCGCCACTGTCGAAGCCTCGCGTCAAAGCCAACTCGACGACGAACAACTGGCCTCCCCACCGATGATCTCGTGATTCATTCGATCGATCCTCGCCTGTATTTTCATCTCTTTTGGAAAACTTGGGCAACCGTTTATTTAAATGGTTGAAAAGATTCGATGTAACGTTTGAATCTATCGATTAAGATCGATTGTCAAAGAATATTTCTGACTAATAAAGATTCGTTTCACCCATTTTCTTGGCTATATTTCTTGAATCGTGTTTTTAATTAAGGAAAAATTGTTCGATAGATTCGTCGTGGTTGATGCAACGAAACTGATGGAGAGTGAGAGAGAGAGAAAGAGAGAGATTAATAGATGGAAACAATGACACGCGAACAAACGAGGTAATATATATATGAACCGTTCATCTTAGGAGGACCGCAACCGATTATTTTCGCCATTACCGGAGGAGCGTAGCTCAATCTTCACGATTGCACAACTTATATTCAATTAGGATTTCTATCATCAAGGAAGATGCGTTTAGTTTAATGGAATATCCTGCCGTTTAATCTTCGAGAAAGACACTTTCCATCTTTCTTCGAAGAAATATCCAGAGGTTTCTTCGTTTTGGAAAATATTGAGTAGGTAAATTTACGAATACCACGCGTTATCGCGTTTAGAAACCAGGAAAGAATTTTACCCGTTCGAAACGCATTAAGACGAAGCAGCCTGTTCGAAGAAATATAGGAAGTTTAGTTAATTGGAAGAAGAAGGAGGAAAGTCATCGAGGTTAATTATCACCGTGTCACGAGCGAAAAGATTCCGAGGTATGAGCACGAGCTTGTCTACCGGTTGTTTGATGATAAAGGTGTAAGGACATCGATTAATACTTCGTTTTCATAGCGGCAATAAAAGTTGGTAACACGAACTACGGTGAACGTTTACGGGAGCCGAACGAGCTGTTAACTGTACGGTATTTTTGCCACGGGACGTTCATAATCGCGGGCGTTTCATGAAACGAAACTTTCGTCTTTTTTTTTTTTTCTTTTTTACGGCTGCCTCTTTTACGAGCCACGCGTGTTTAGACCCTGATACGGTGGCGGGTGTATTACCAGCTAAACTGTTGCGTGTCACGCTTTTAACCGAACATACCGAATGTTTCGCCGAGTTTTGCTTATTTCGCGAAAAAAGAATTAAAAAAAAAAGGAAAAAGAAGAGGAGGAATCGAAGTGGATATGGGAAAGTTCGTTTCCTACTTTAATACCGTTGCATCAACGGTACATTAAATTAATTAGCATTCCAAATTCAAGTCTTTTCGTCCGATTTTATTACATTGCCTCGACCTTACCGATTTAATAATTGAATAGATATAAATTACGATAATTAATACGCTTCTTTTAAGGATATCTTCGAATATCTTCTTCCATTTCTTTCGACTTAATTCCAATATTTTTTTAAACTACCGTTTTTTATTTTTCCCTCATCCAATCTCTCTTCAACCTCCTCTTTAACGATAAAATTCGGGTAATATCGAAGTAAAAAGAAATGTCATTGTGTAGTGCGATTTAAAACGAGGGTATTAACAAATTCGGGTTGAAATCATTTCGATGAGTTAATTAAGTTTTACAGTACGCTGTTCCGTCCACAGATCGTGTACATCGCCGCATTATCCGCGATATATCTTCATCCCCGGCGAGTCGAAAAATCCTTCTCCCTTGGTGCCGATGGATGCTCGCGTCACCTTGGCGATGTTATCGCGGCGTTGTCGCGGCGAGGAACAACAGATGCACGAAATCACGATAGCCGCCGAGATCTACCGGCTGCTCGTAGGTAGTTTACGAGCGTGCCGAATTTCAAATAGGATCGTAAAACCGGCGTTCGACCGACCATTTCGGCCCTCGTTGTCTCGCGTATCACGGATAGAGAACGTGACATCGATTTCGAATGTGACTTCGAACGAATAATATCTCGTCGATTGGATCGATTCTTCTCGTAAACGAGATGTGAAAATTGGCGAGGCAAATTACTTCTTCTTTTTTTGTAGCTAGATTTTCAAACATTTCGATTCTCCTTTCAGATTTATTTTTCTTTCTTCCTACCGATGAAGTTGTGAACTTGAAATTCATCAGACGTTTCTTCTCCGACCACGTTCGACCAAATAAACGAATTAATTACAAAATAAACTAGTCCCTGTTAATCGCACTTTCGAAAACCATCTCACAACCTCTTCCAATCTTGACACCTCTCGACCACTCTCTCTCTCCCCCTCTTGGCTATCACTCGGGACAACTGCGTACGATTCTGAACCGTGGCGAGATTCGCGAGATGGTCGGCATACCGATCGGTCCGCATAAAATCCGAAGGTGTTAAGCAAGGGGAGGCGCGCATGGAAGCCTCGGTGGTTTGTCCCCGAAAGGGGGAGCCTGGTAGGAATTGAAATTGATTTCGGTCCACTTCCATTACTCAAAGAGGAGCGGGCGAACAAGCGCCGACAAAAGTCAGGGACCGATCCCGAGCGTGGATAAGGGGCTGGCACCCGTTGTGGGACAACCGGCCCCGGTTGTGGAGCGGAGGCCGTTTCCAGCCCCTCGGATTCCTGGCGAGTTTGAACAGCGGGAGCGGGAGAGGGAGCCGAAGATTTTTTTTCCTTTTTCCTTTCTCTCTCTCTCTCTCTCTCTCTCTCTCGGTGTCGAGATCAATTTTTACCCCCTCATCCCCTTTCGAAGGGGTTGCTCGAGCTTGTATTTTCGAAGGGTTGGAAAGGCGGGATTTAGAGGATCGACCGATGAATTGTTTATCTTGTTAATGGAGCCTGGGGGTTAATGGAGCCGAGGTTTCAGGGTTTACGCGGAAGTAAAATTTGGGGAGGGGGGGGGAGCATTTTGGATTCTCGTTAATCCTTTAGGGTTATCGAATTATCGTTTAAAAATTACACGAATAAAAGAATGACGATATCCTTTTCACGTTTTTCTAAATATTTGTAATTTTCTTGGAATTTCAAGTTTTCCCCTCCTCCCCCTTCCCTCATCGAGAAGAATTCTCTTCGTTCACGAAGAGAAGCAAACGTCAGTTTCACGGACGTATGGTATGTAATAGCGCGTGTTGGTTCGTTCACCAGCCACGGAATTCCCGATGGACTCGTCAGATTTCTCCATTGTGTCACCGCCCTTTATGACTGACGGCAGTCGTCGAGAGGAGGACCACCCGGTAGGCACACCGCTTCCGGAATCTTTCTATACTTGGGCTTCTCGGTAAGGGAGTTGGTTCGGGGAAGCCTACCTGCTGGAATCGTCGGGGGATTCAAGAAACTTTCGCTCGAATTCGTGAGTGCGCGGCCGTTATATCGGTACACCAACCTTTCGACGAAACGGACAACGAACCGGGAACGGAGAGGCTCGGGAACAACTCGTGCGCCCCAGCTTATTTTCCTTCCTTTCTCAGACGCGGGGAGATCGTATGAACCAGCGTCGATTACTCCGCGAAATGAAAATGTTCCTTCCTCGAGAGAAAAATGTTCACGAAAAAAACGTGAGATGAAAAATCACTACGCACAGTTTTGTTTTCTCCACGGAGTTGCGAGAACTCGCTGAGCACTTTTTATCCACGTTGAAACGTTGATAGAAGAAGTTAAAGGAGATCTCGTTAAAGATTAATTATTTGATCTCGTGATTAGAGAGTTTCGATGTGAAGTCTTGCCGAACAATTTGACTTTTTCAGAACCGGTTCCATTAACTCCTGGCGAAACGAATTTCCAAAGTTAAACATAATTATATACCGAAACGTTAAATTCAACATCATCGTATTCTCGCCGTGGAAATACGCGAGGAGAAAGCGCAAATTATATGCAGTTTCCATATAGTATCTCTTGAGCATGGTCAGAGTTTCTGACCAAATGTACGGTTAACGAAGAATCGTGTTCGTAATCCACTTTCGTCGACAAATAATTTTCCACGTAAATGACATATTCGGAAAATGGGAACGGTTCAACTTCTGCGTGGAATCGAAACATGTTGATAGGTGTTGGGAATGTGCACTCTCCGGGAACAAAAGGTCCATCGCGCACAGTTTACGCGGAGATCGAGAGAGAATTTCAGCGTGGATGATTCGCTGGAAACTACGAAATATGTGGAAACTATCGTTTTATAATTTAGAGCGCAACTCCATTCGGACGAAGAACAAGACGAATGGAAATTTGCCTTTCCTTCCGAATTTCTGATTGTTCAACGTCCAAGTTAAACTCAACTGCTCCGTGAACGTAGTAGATACGCGTGTTGATTTTAAACGCGTGTTTGGACGATTGTTGTTGGGAGAAGTGGAAATTAAGGAAAGTTCGTATCGACGGTTCGCCTCCAAGTTTTTAACTCTTTTCCCTTGGAAAAAACCAAATTACTCGCTTACTTATCGTGAGAATCTTTCCCCGTGAAATTTTAAATGCACGCTTAACACGATAATTGTCTCAATTTCTCGGCAAGTTCCAAACCAATAGTCGTCTCGTCCTTTTCGCGAAATTTTTCGAAAGATAAGTAAATATTGAAAAGAAACAAAATTTGTTTCTCTAAAGCAACAATCGTCTCGATTCGTACGACTTGAAAATCTTCCGAAAGACAAGTAACGTTGGAAAGAAATAATTCTCCAATAAATACAAATTCTAGATTTCGCAAAAGTTTCAAAAACACAAATATAATACCGGAAAGAGAATTAATTTCCCAACAAACAAATTCTTCATCTTAGTTTCAAGAACACAAATGACACGGAAAAGAGAATTAATTTCCCGACAAACACATATTTTTCGTTTCGTAACAAAGCTGGACGAAATTTCTCAAAAGAGCGGTAACGCTGGAAAGAAATAATTTTCCAAGAAAAAGAGAAATTCTTCGTCTCGATTCCGGGCCACACCGGTGGACGAATCGAAATTTCCCAAAAGACAGACACGGGATGCATTGGCAAAGAGGTAAGGGCGTAAGGCAGGAAGCGAAATGGAAATTTCGTGTGTGGAAGAAGGCTCATTCATAGTTGACGATACGCGTTTGGAATCCGAGCGTGGGAGGCGTCCCGACGCGGCGGCACCGCGCGCAGCGGTATGCAAACCCGGGCTCACGATGGTATCGCCGCTTGTTAAGGGGACTCCAGACTAGCGCAGCGGGGTGCTTCCCTCGGCGGCAAACCTCCAAGAGAGCGCGAACCTCCTCCACC